CTGTTCTTCCTTTCTTGTCAGATGAAGTGACTTTTTTTTCAGAGAACAGTCTAGTGTCTCTCAGCTTTTTTTGGATTCAAAGGCTTAGGATGAAATAAGGCTAAATTTAAATTGCCTTTAGTTTATGTTTTTATAAATTCTACAAGGCCATTAGCATTCAAATTCCTTATTTCTAAACACAGTGAATTGGAAACGTTTACCTATTCCAAAATTATATCTATTAGTTTAAGACTATTTTCCCTTCTTCAGCTTTGGGCTAAGGAATAAAATTTTTTGTTTTGTTTTGTTTTGGTAAAACAGTAAGTATCAAAAGAAAAAGAACAACTCAAAATGATACTGTCATTAATTCTTTTACATTTAAATGTATCGGGAAGAAAGGATTTATAAATATTTACAGCTAACTTTAAAGACACAATGCAGTGATGAAAAATTCATAAACTTTCAATTTTTACAGGATTGATCAGCATGTCCACTAAAGAAAAAAAAGTGGTTCTGTGAGACATCCCATGATGAAGATCAAAAATGATTCTCAAGATGAAAAACTGTTCTGCCTTTCAAATCCTTCTCCTCATATAGCTTTGTTGAGTTAATAAATATGGCCCTTTTGGCAGCAAATGTTACTGCTCTGTGCTTCTAATTCCAAAGCACCATGTTATAGTATTGTACAAGGTTAACCAGTCTAACTTTAAAAATGTGGGTTTTAAACTCTATGTGCCCTACTATCAATCAGAAATGCATTTCACATGCCCCATAGTTCTTGACAGGAAAAATATGTGCCTGTAAGTACTCCATAATTTAGCTTACGAGGTTCAACCTCAGAGAAACGTGTACAACTGTCATGCCCAGAAGCCATCATATCTAAAATCTTTTAAGATGCATGGCTCATAAAGCGGATTCTAAATCACTTTCTATAATGAAACCACGTTCATGTCAAAGATCTCAAAGGTTGAGACCTAATTCAAATGCAAGAGCAGCCCCATTAAGAACCTTGAATCAAATAAGTATGCCTTGTTTGTTTTATAAATCTATTCAATTTAGGAAAAATATACATAAAACAGGAATGCTACAAACTTTATTAATAGTAATAACTATTTTTATTGTTATCACTTATATTATTTTTATTAACTACATAAATGTTAAACAGAGCCCTGATAAAGCAACACATTTTGTGTGTTTATTATTAAGTACCTTTTATCTTAAACTAAGAAAAATATGTCAGTATCATGAAAATTTTTTATGCATAGTAAATCCCTGTATTGTTATCAAAACCATAGTGATTTTATTTTTTATAGATCAGGCCATAGACACATATTACACTGATATTCAGAAGGACATTTGCAGGGCAATGGATTTCTCTTTTTGTATGGACTTTCTTACCAAGGTATTGTAACTCCTACAAAATATTGGGTGGGACAGTGCAAATAAGATGCCTGTAGCATACCAAGGGGACTGGTCAGTTTTGCCATCTCACTAGGCTTAAAAAGAGCCCACAAGTTGAGGGGGAACCTCACTACCATTAAGTAAAGCTGGGAGCAGAATACATCCATTGGAATCAGGGTCCTTGCACTGAGAATCTCTTAGATCCAGGAGACAGAGAGCTGTAACACTAGATGCTGAAGTGGCACTATATGGCAGTGGCACAGGACCAGTAGAAGGCTGCAATGAGCTCACTGACCCACAGATGAGAGAGTTGAGTGCCTTTGGGCAGGAGGCTTTCTGGCAGAATGGGGTGCCTCCAGTCATTCTCAGTGGAGCTAAAGAGCTGTAATGCTTGCCTAGAGGAGAGGTCAGTGGTAGAGGCCCAAGTGTTGCTTACTTGTGGGCATGGCTGAGAGGAGTTGAGAGCTCCTGATTGAAAATTGTCGATTGATGAACTGTATCCTCTTGACTACATTGTTTCTGTTACTCCCAAGTTGATCCCGATCCTGAATTGTAACCTGTTACTTCCCTAATACCACCACTCGTCTATCAGTTTGTCATACTGTGGTGGTTTGGATGTTGCTGTGAGGCTGTAGGCTATGCCACTGGTATTTCAAATACCAGCATGGTCACCCATGGTGGACACGTTTCAGTGTAGCTTCCAGACTAAGACAGATTTGGAAGAAGGGCTATCCATTACTCAAAGAATTGCCTAGTGAAAACCTTATGAATAGCAGTGAAACACTGTCTGATACATTACTGGAATACTTTATGAATAGTCCCGAAACACTGTCCTATATAGTGTCAGAAGATGAGCCCCTCAGGTCAGAAGGCACTCACAATAAAACTGGGGAAGAGCTGCCTCCTCAGAGTTGACCTTAATGATGTGGATGAAGTAAGGCTTTCAAGACCTCCATTTGCTGATGTGGCATTACCCAACATGAGAAGAAACAGCTGCAAACATCCATTAATAACTGGAACGTGGATTGTACGAAGTATGAATCTAGGAAAATTGGAAGTTGTTAAAAATGAAATGGAATTCATAAAGATCAATATCCTAGGCATTGGTGAAATAAAATGGACTGGTTTGGGCCATTTTGAATGACACAAGCATATGATATATTATGCTGGGAATGACAAATTGAGGATGGCATTCATCATCACAAAGGAAGTATGAAGATCTATCCTGAAGTACAATGATGTTAGTGATAGGATAAGATCCACACGCCTACAAGGAAGACCAGTTAATACTATTATTATTCAAATTTACACACCAACCACCCAAGTGAAAGATGAGAAAAGTAAAGATTTTTACCAACTTTTGCAGTCTGAAATTGACCAAACATGCAATCCAGATGTGTTGATTATTACTGGTGACTGGAATGCAAAAGTTGGAAACAAAGAATCACTGGCTGTTGGAAAACATGGCCTTGCTGATACAAATGATACTAGAGATAGCATGGCAGAATTTTTCAAGACCAATGACTTATTTATTGCAAATACCTTCTGTCAATAACATAAATGGGAGCTATACACATAGACTTCACCACATGGAACACATGAGAATCAGATTGATAACATCTGTGGAAAGAGGCAATGGAGAAGCTCAATATCTTCAGCCAAAACAAGGCCAGGAGCTGACTGTGGAACAGACTATCAGTTGCTCATATGCAAGTTCAAGTTAAAGCTGGAGACAATAAAAACACATCCACAAGAGCAAAAATGTGACCTAGATTATATCCCTTCTGAATTTAGAGACTATCTAAAGAACAGATTTGATGCATTGTGGGATGACATCAAGAACATCATCCATGAAGAAAGCAAAAGGTCATTAAAAAAACAGGAAAGGAAGAAAAGACCAAAATGGATGTCAGAGAAGACTCTAAAACTTGTTCTTAAATGAAGAGTAGCTAAAGCAAAAGGAAGAAATGACAAGATAAAAGAGCTGAATAGAAGATTTCAAAAAGCAGCTCAGGAAGACAAAGATTATAATGAAATATGCAAAGACATGGAGTTGGAAAACCAAAAGGGGAGAACATGCTAAGCATTTCTCAAACTGAAAGAACTAAAGAAAAAAATTTAAGCCTTGAGTTGCAATATTTAAAGATTCTTAGGACAAAATATTGAATGATGCAGGAAACATCAAAAGGATATGGAAGGAATACAGAGTCACTGTACCAAAGAGAATTGGTCGATGTTCATCCATTTCAAGAGGCAGTATATGATCAAGAACCAATGTTATTGAAGGAAGAATTTGTAGCTGCACTGAAGGAACTGGCAAAAAAAAAAAGCCTCCAAGAATTGGGAATACCCATTGAGATGTTTCAACAAATGGATGCAATGCTGGAACGACTCATTTGCTTGGGCCAAGAAATTTGGAAGACAGCTACCTGGCCAAGTGACTGAAAGAGATCCATATTTGTACCCATTCCAAAGAGGGGATTTCACAGAATGTGAAAATTACTGAATATCATTAATATCACACACAAGTAAAATCTTAGTGAAGATAATTCAAAAACAGTTGCAACAGTATATTGACAGAAAACGTCCAGAAATGCAAGCTGTATTCAGAAGATATTAGATATTATCAGATGAACCTTG